GTTCCTTCCCCCCCTCCTCTGCTCTCTCTCTCGCGCGCAGCCGAGCAGAGCTCATCGCCGCCGTCCACCGTAGCCGTAGCCACCGCCTCCCCCTCGCCTCTCCGACACGTGCAGGAGCTCCGCCCCCTCGCCCTGAAGCTCTCCGTCAAGCCACAAGACGCCGGACGCCCTGTGGAGCCGCCGTCGCCATCGTCTTCCTCCTCGGACGCCGCCGACCGCCGACTCCGATTCGCCGTCTCCAACGCGTCCCCGGCCGCAACGAGCAGCCCTGGAGGTCCGCGGTGAGCTCCGCCACCGTTCCCCTCCCTCCATTTAGCTGCCCGCTCGCCGTAGCCTCCTCCCCACCACGGCCGAAGCTTCCTGCCGCCGTTCATGTCGCCGCCGTCGCCCTGGCCACCGCAGCTTGCAACCGAGCACCCCATCGTGCTCCCGGTGCCACGAGGGTGCCACCGAGCCCCTCAGGTGGCCTCCCCGTGCCCCGCAGCCCATTCCCGATCGAAGCCGAGCTCCGGCCGCCGCCGCGAGCTTTGCTCCGGCGAGCTCCGGCCTCCCCAGCTCCTCCCACCTGCCCCTCCAGATGTGCGAGAGCCCGGGCTACGCCCCGGTGCTCTCCGACGCCGTCCCCGTGGCCGGTATCGCGGACGCCGCCGCGTCCAGAGGTCGCCGCCGATGACCTCGCCGGCCTGACGAGTGGGCCCCGTCGGCCAGGTGATTAGCTTAGTGCTAATCACCGTTAACTAACCCCCCCTGACACTGACAGTGGGCCCCAGCGCCACTAACCTTTTAAATTAGAATTAAACTAACCCTGTTTAACCCCCTGTCACTGACGTGTGGACCCCACACGTCAGGTTTGACCCCAGTCAGCCGCAGTTGACTGCTGACGTCATGCTTACTCAATGCTGACGCAATATATATTTTCTGGAGTTATAATAAATCAGGAAATTCCAGAAATTGATTTAAACTTCAAAAATTCATATCAATTCAACCGTAGCTCAGATTAAAATAATTTATATATGAAAAATTATCAGAAAAATGCAATCTTTCCATCTGTACTAGTCTCATGCATGACAAACCAACTTATACATGCTGTTTATGGGAAAACACATTATGGCATATATAAGAGACTTAATTTAGAATTGCATTTGAGCTTTGGTTCAAATGGACTTCAAACCAAATGAGTACTAGTTGCATTAGCACAATCAGCATCACATCTTCATGCCATGTTCATGCATCATTGTGTTGCATATGCTTGTGTTTTGATTGTTGGCACCGTTCCTTCTCGATAGGTCCTGCTCCGGAGTCTGTTCCAGAGTACCTGTCTGTGAAGCAGTGCCTCCTCCGTTGATTTACCAGGCAAGCAAACCCCCTTGTTCATTTCGATAAAACCCTACTCTCTCGCTCCTGCTCTCAGTTATTGCATTAGGACAACAATGATTCATCTGCTACTTTGTGCTGCGGTAGTTGAACCCATTCCTCTGCATGACCTGTCATTGCCACAGTAAATAGTTGAAACCCACTAGCATGTGTAGGAGTTGATTGAGCCATGTTGTGTTCCTACCATGCTATGCCTGCTATTGCTTAGACTTGTGTCAGGTCTGGTTCATTGGGAATGAATTGGAGTGTTACGATATGTTCTGATGCTGAGAGTGAAGTGTGTGAACACGATTTGGTAAAGGTAGTGGTGAGAGGCCATGTAGGAGTACATGGTGGGTTGTCTCACTGGAACCGTCCTTAAGCACCGAGTTCTATGTATGTTGTCCAATGACTCGATACTACCACACATTGGGCTCCGGGCGCTCCAAGCCCTCTCGACTTATTAACCAACTTGATCTCTGTCCAGGAGTCGCAACTAGTTTCTGGTGTTTGTAGTTAGTGCTATTTTTCTACCAAGTGGCACCCGGCAGGGTGGGCTTGGGACAGACTAGGCACAGGTGGTACGGTGTACCAAGTGGCACCCGGATGGTGGGCTTGGGAACCCTGCTCACATCGTTTGGGGCCGTGAGCGACACCCCGGCCGGATCTCCTTGCGGATGGAACCCGAATAGGCGATAAACCTGGATTAGAGTCTTGTGTGGTTAGTCAGGTCGTGGCCGACACCCTCGCCAGGCTTCCGCTTGAAGGTTGCCGAGATACATGACGTGTACATGGCGGTAAGTGGCGAGAGCGTGTGTGAAGAAGTACACCCCTGCAGGGTTAACATGATCTATTCGAATAGCCGGGTCCGCGGTTATGGACTTCTTGGATACTTACATGGTACATAGACAACTGAAGTGGATACTCTAAAATGCTCAAGACAAGTGTGAGTGCTATGGATGGCCTTCTCGTAGGGAGACGGGGATGAATCCATAGTAGTGTATTGTGTGGTGATTAGTGGACTCGTGTATGTTGTCTCACCTCAAGAGTTTCTGGTAGTCGTAGAACAGGATAGCCACAGAGTCAAAGCTGGCTTGTTGCAACTAAACCCCACATTACCCTCTTGATACAAATGCATGTATGATAGGATCTGATGTAAGTCTTGCTGAGTACCTTTGTACTCATGTTGCTTTATTTATGTTTTGCAGCGGAGACTTCGGTCTTAATAGTGTTCTCGTGGACTTCGACGAGTAGCTTGTACCTCAGCTACAATCTTGATCGGACGTTGTAGATAGTCAGGCTTTCAGCCTTTTTCATTTATAGATGTCTGTACTCAGACATGTAATGCTTCCGTTTGTTGCTTGATTGCTCTGAATGTTGGGTCATGTGACCCCTGTTTGTAATAATGCTATGATGGCTCTTGAGCCTTATCTATATGAGTTGTTGAGTTATGTTGTGATGCCATGTTGTACAGCACATACTTGCATGTTATGCGTACGTGTAATGTGTATTGCTATGTGTGGGATCTGACTATCTAGTTGTTTATCCTTAGTAGTCTCTCTTACCGGGAAATGTCTCCTAGTGTTTCCTCTGAGCCCTGGTAGCTTGCTACTGCTCCGGAACACTAGGCTGACCGGCATGTGTCCTTCTTCGATCCTGTGTCTGTCCCTTCGGGGAAATGTCACGCGATGAATACCGGAGTCCTGTTAGCCCGCTACAGCCCGGTTCACCGAAGTCCTGTTAGCCCAGTGCTACAGCCTGGATTCACTCGCTGATGACCGACACGTTCGATGCTGGGTCATGGATGCCTGTCCCGGTAAGTTAGTGCCACTTTGGGTTTACGACTAGCCATGTCAGTCCGGACTCTTTATCATATGGATGCTAGCGACACCATCGTATACGTGTGCCAACAGGCGCAAACGGTCCCGGGCAAAGGTAAGGCGACACCCGTGGGGATACCGTGCGTGAGGCCGCAAAGTGATATGAGGTGTTACATGCTAGATCGATGTGGCATTGAGTCGGGGTCCTGACAGGTTCGGTGACCGCCCCCAAGGGTTGCCATTTGTACGGGTTCGGTGACCGCCCTCAAGGGTCCCTTAGTGGAATCACGGCATCTTGCATTGTGCAAGGACATGAGGAGATTACGGTGGCCCTAGTGGCTTCTTGGGAAGCATTGTGCCTCCACACCGCTCCAAACGAAGATTAGCATCCGCAAGGGTGTGAACTTCGGGATACATCGTCGTCTCCACCTGTCTCGGTTATCTCTTACCCGAGCTCTTTACTTATGTGCTTTACCTTGTGATAGCCATATTGTTTCTTGTCATATATCTTGCTATCACATAGTTGTTTATCTTGATTAGTATAAGTTGTTGGTGCACATAGGTGAGCCTAGTTATTGTAGGTTTTGTGTTTGACAAATTAACCGCTAGGTTTATTCCGCATTTATTCAAGCCTAAACCGTAATTATTTTAAAGCGCCTATTCACCCCCCTCTAGGCGACATCCACGATCTTTCAGTAGGCTCCACCGCCACTGCACGTGTGTGCTCTGACGACTACCGTAGTTTAGATTTAGGATTTATTTAATTTCTAGTTATGTACACGCCATCGAACTCCAGATCCCGCACGACTAAGACATCAGAGGAGGAAATCATACATGTTATCCATGAACCACGAACCCAAGACATAATCTACCATCTTTCAGATGTCGTCGATGCAGACCACAATCTGCATCCGCTCCTAGACTACCTCCCAATCTCCGCGCCGGCGTTGGAGCAAACGTCGCCGCAACGGCGAAGCCCGAGAACACAGGTCCACCATGAGGATGCCACCACCGTCACACCATTCTTTCTTGAACAATCTAGTTTCTAAATCCATTCCCAACTATAGAACCGATCGCTATGTCGAGGAAGGATCTAAAGAATCTTTATTCAGCGCTGCCATCACCACTCGCAGAGCCAAAACTATGAACAATCTAAAAATACTAAACTAAAAACAATCCACACGTGTGAATCCGGCAACCCCTTTCACCACTTACGACCCTCGGTGGAGGGGAGCCGCCGGAGGACGGCGCCGGAAGGTTGGCCTCTCCTGGCGGCTGCTAGGGTTCCTTCCGCGAGGCACGGAGAGAAAAACTCTTCGCTACAAGTTGCTACACATTTCAGATCATTTAAAAATGCGAGAATGAAATTTCGGGGTACTCCCTCCTTCCATCTATATAGGGCGTAATGCGTTTTTTAAGACAACGTTTGACTATTGATAAGATTAATAATACATAAAATGTATAATGTGAAAATTATAATTGGAATCTCCTTTCACATACGAATTTGACGGTATGTTTTGTGTAACTTGATGTCATATATTATTGTTCTAACATTTAGTCAAAGTTGACCTCAAAAAACGCATTAGACTCTATATAGATGGAAGGAGGGAGTACAAGATTACAAGAAGCAGCCAGTACGCGCACGTGTTCGGTCCCGAGGCACCGCAACGGCCGGAGAAGTCCAAACTCAAAATTCAAACTCGCTCGCTCCACCCTCAAAACTTCGTCTTCCGCTCCGCGTTCCATACACCGCAGTCCCCTCGCTCTCACTCCCCTCTGACGAGGCCCCATGGCCGTGGCGGCACGGGAAGGTACGAACCGCGAGCCCTGGCCGCGCCCGCCCGCCCTCTACGCCCCCCCTCACTAACCCGGCCGTGCCCTCTCTCTCCCGCAGGCGCTCGCGGCGGCGGCGGCGACGCGTGGGCGGAGATCCTGGCCAGCGGCGGCGGCGGCGGGCCTCGCATCGGCGCGGTGTACGAGCGCCGCCGGGCGCAGGAGGCGTCGAGGCAGAGGAACGCGGACGCGTAAGTGCCGGGGCCGCCGGCGGCGGGCGCGGGGGGATTTCGGTCGGTCCTAGGGTTTCGCTGATCTCGCCGTGTTTTTTTGCTGCGCCCAGGAGAGGCGGCGTCGCGGCGGCTGTCGAGAACCGGCCGAGCTTCGCGCCGGTCAAGCGGACCAGCTGGAACCGGTCGCTCTCCATCAGGTGCGTCTCGGCCATTTCGCTGCATTTTGTGGGTGTGTTTCAGTGTTCGGCCGTTGGCCTGTGTTGGAGGCGTTGATCTGCCGTGATTCAGTGCTGCCTCCGGCCATTATCCACCCGTAGTCGTGCCTAGCTCCATACCAAGTTGAAATTTATTACCGCTCTCTTTCAAAAAAAAAATTGTAAGTTTTTTCCCCATTTTTGTTGAATATTATAATGATTGTGGTCTTGTCTTGTCTTATTCATTTCGTTTTCCTTCGTGAACACTTATGCACGACCAATCGCATAAGCTGTTCTCTCTCATTATTCCTCGATGAGAAGAGTATTTAGTTTTTCCTTGCTTGTGTTTCATCTACTCCTATGTGCCTGGTCAATACTAGTATCACAAGGAAGTAAACAAGTTCAGTCGAGCACCTTGTCTCGTCTGTACTGCCAACTTTTGTATCTTTCCACGTAGGCAACGAAACAACCTCTGAACCTTATGTGAGGAGGCTAGCTTATAAGGGAACCTGGCCTTATGTGTGAGGCTTAGCTTCTCAGGGAAGCCTTCTGAAAGGCTTGCTCGTCCCAGGAGTGGAGTCAGTTTTGTCAGTGGATAGTTCACTAGTGAAGCTAGAGAGAGCAAGCCCTTCGTATGAGTTAGCATGTGATTAAGGTTTTCATTCTCGTTTTTCCATTTAGCAATCCCCTTCCATCTCTTTCTGATGTGGTTCTGTGGTGTTCGAATCCAAACTTTGATGTGTTTCAAGGTGCAATGTTAGGGAATCAATGCATCTCATGTAGTACTCCCGCTGTAAACAAATAGTAGACGTTTTGGAGACTTTACTGTCATTGATATCTCAAGTGCCTTTTCTCAACCTGAAGCTGGAAACTGTTAAATTGCTTTACTTTGCGGGATCCCCCTTATATCACTAGTTTTACACTTGTCTTAAGGAGACCTCCACCTTATTTACAGTGGCTTTAGTCTAAAAGGGGGAAACTGCCTTTTTTAACCTCTTTTGTTCCATGAATTCTGTTGTTATGCATGTGTCATTATAGTGGACTTCGAAATTACCTTGATTTTCTGATGTATTGATATTTAAGCTGCGGAGCAAGTCTTAGGTACTTGGGATGTCATCGCTACTGTTTAACTGACGGAGAAAATTACTTAAGTGGCAAAAGTAAGCTAGTTTTATGGGCCTTTCCAAAACAAGATAATTTTAGCGACCTAGGCAGCATAAGCTATGAAGATTCGAACTTTTGGTGCAATCATTTTGTTTTGTTGCAGAAAATTATTCTTTTGAACTGAAAATATGTTGTGTGTTTGTTTGAAATAAATTTCGTAAGTACTCCCTCGTCCCATAATATAAGAGTGTTTTTGACACTACACTACACTAGTGTGAAAAACGCTCTTATATTATGGGACGGAGGGAGTATTTTTGAAGGAACTTGCAGGAGGAACTACATGTTCTGTTGATAGAGAAGAATTAGGACCCAAATTTGCATCTTGAACCTGGGTCTGATTGTGCATTCACTCCCCCACTCAATTGAGTTAGGCTTACTTCCTGTTAGCATTTTGCTGCATCAATCAAATTGGAGTGTGGTAAGCTAAACCTGGCATTCTCTCAGCCTGCAACATGTCATTCACAATAGAATACATGAGGGTGGAGAGTGTTTGTTTCCATGTGCATTGTCTCCTTTGTTTGCTTTGTGAGGATTTTCCCCATTTTAATTACTGAAATTTAGTGCTATAGATCTCTTTTTTTTACCTCTGACATTGTTTGGTGAAACTTGATAGAGGGCGGGAAAGTATATTTTTTGCACCCGGGACAAATCTTCAGCCTCAACAGAAACTCTGCAGAGCACTCAAACGACCACCAAAACCGTGTAACAGAGTGGTGCGGCTAACATTTTTCAGGCGTACTTACTGATAATGTTAAAGTTGTTTGCCTTCTAAGCTTGCTTCTCTTTTATCAGAAAAAACCTCTTGGAGGGCCACCCGACTTGAGTAAAGAAAAGGCTTATTTTGAAGAAGTCGATGCTTTTGAGCTGATGGAAGAGAGCCCTTCGCCCAAGAACTTTGGCACATGGGCAGGAGGGATGGAGCAGAGTCTCATTGTGCATGATCTGCCTGCAATATTGGAGAGGTGGAAAATCTTCAAGCTTGCAAGATGTGCAGCATCCAATCAATTGTTTGATATCATGGAGACCCCACTTATCCCATCAGTCATCAGTAACTGCAGTACAGAAAATTATTCTGAAAAAGCTTATAGGACACCTGAAAAGGACAGAGGGTCAGGGATGCACCCAACAAGAAGGACAATCCTTTCAGGATACACTAATGAGAGTACAAAGAACATTGCAGGCGAAACCAGCATTGTCACGTCCTTTAGTGAGCTTAACATTGAGGAACCCCCCCGCATCAGCATTCCTTCATCAAGTGGTGAAGCTCTGACTGCCTCTGCACAACTTCTCATGGTTTGCAGGCAATCTGCACCAGCTACTTTAGCAGATGTTTTTTCTGCTTACTGGTAGGTATTTCAACCTTCCACATAAATTTGTCGTTACTCTGTTTTTTGGGCAGCTGAAAGAAGATCAGTTTGTCATAACATTTCAAAATGAGTTAATTTACTTTTTTTACCTGCACTGTTGCTTTTATTTATCAATTGACAAAGATATTTGTGAAAGCAGCAAGTTAGACAGCATAGTGAAGCTTGGTGAAGGAACTTATGGCGAGGCCTACAGGGCTGGAAGCACTGTCTGTAAAGTGGTACCCTTCGATGGGGATTCATTGGTCAATGGAGAGACTCAGAAGGTTTATTTCATTCATTTGGGTTGTTCTCAACTCTGAAATGTTGTGCTACTCATTAGATGGTTCTGTTTTGTAGAAATCGGAAGAAGTACTCGAGGAAGCTTTGCTTTGTCTAACACTAAATAATTTGAGAACGGACCAGGGAGATAAAGGAAAAGACTATTCATGCGATGGCTTCATTGAGACTAAAGAGTATGTCCCTTTCCGTGGGAAAAAATGCACACATATTTACTGTGCATGTTTTTTTTACCAGAATTACTACACATATAGGGTGGTATATTTGAGCCCAGGCTTGCCCTACCAATTAGTTGGCTACCCAAAATGTGGTGAAGCTTTTGCTTGCCCATAAGTTGGCTAACGTTGGAAAGAAAAATGAACTAGGGTAGACAAAGATGCACTGGCAGAACAAAGAATTGGTGTGGTGGGTTTTGGCCACCATCCAGACATACCCATAGCACTCTGTCTGAAGAATTTGTATGTTATATCCCTTTAAAATGTTACAACTCGGTGTTTTCTAGAACCACAAAAAATTGATGAAGCCTATGTGATACAACATGTAAGATGTTTGATTCTGTCTGCAGGATCATGCATAATAGTTAGTATGAAATCATAAATGGTCCTCTCTTTTGCGTATTTGCAGCTTTTGGGTTTGTAAGGGACCATATGACCCTTCACTGATTAGTGCTTGGGAAGATTGGGATTCCAAACATGAATCTGAGAATGATCATCCAAAGGACTTCTCAAACGATCAGGTAAGAATTTAGATCAAATAGATCACTTATCATTTACTCGTTATGTTGGCGCATCAGTGAGGACTGAGAACCATGTTTCCTCAATTACCTACCCTCACACATGTAACTTTTGTTTCAGCATTATATTATCTTTGTACAAGCAGACGGTGGGAGAGACCTTGAAAAATTCGCTTTACTCGACTATAATGAGGCTCGCAGTCTACTGCTTCAAGTATGCACTTGGCATTTCCTAAACTACATTCTTACTTGAACTACAAAGTTGCTAGCATAACTAAATTAACATCCTTGATGCAGGTTACTGCCTCCTTAGCTGTAGCTGAGAGTGCCTGCGAATTTGAACATCGAGATTTGCATTGGTTTGTCCTTTCAATGCTGCTTCTCATTCATGTGTAGCCTAGGATTCCACTTTTTCTTTCTCGTTGATATGCAGTGTTAGCTATTAATGGTCACTTACCACCATAACACATGGCAGGGGTAATATTCTTTTGGCTCGTGATGAAATGTCAAACAAGGATCATACAATGAGCATCACTCTTCAAGGGAAGAGGATTCGTGCTAGAACTTTTGGTTTGACCATCTCCATAATTGACTTCACTCTTTCTCGGATCAATACAGGTGCTTACATTGACTTCTTGGTCGGAATACATTGTGCTTATTTTCTTCATGCAATTTTTGATTCCTCTGCAATCTACCTTTTGATATAGATTAAGATTCCTAGAACTACACTGTGCTTATTGTCTTTGTGCAATTTTTGATTGCTCTGTGATTTACATTATGATATGGATTAAGTTTCCTAGAACTATGCAAAAAAGTGAAATCGGTTAAGTTTATTTAATACATTTGTGAGCTGTGAGAATCATACAACTATCTCAGCCATAGGAAAGCCAAATCGTACAATAGTAAAATGAAATTTACAAATACTTGCTGGACCCAGTATCCCTTATTCCCGAGATGGCTCTTAAAAAATACAATGTTTGACTGCATAATGCAGTTGAAATTCATGAAGGAAGTGGGCGTCACCAGGATAACATGTTTAGAACCAGTCACCAGGATAACGTTGGCTTCATAAAAAGTTTAAAGTTGTACTCCCTCCGTCCGAAAAAACTTGTCCCTCAAATGGATGTATCTAACACCAAGTTAGGACAAGTTTGGGACAAGCTTTTTCGGACGAGTATATCAAATGCAATAGCCTTCCCCTAAAGCAATGTGATGATAGAACATTGAAGACATATAGCTCCCCGTATGTTTCCGATACCTTGATAATCTTTTATCTTTGTAATGTCAATCTGTAGGGAATGCCATTCTCTTTCTTGACCTGTCTGAGGACCCTGACTTATTTAAAGGACCAAAAGGAGACAAGCAGGTTTTCAGATGATTAATATTCAGATTACCATGATAAACCCTTTTGAGCTATTATAATGCATGGTTCTCATATATGCAGGCAGAAACTTATCGCAAGATGAAACAAATTACCAAGGAATGCTGGGAAGGCAGGTAAATTTGCATATCACAGCAGACTTTTCTTCACCAAAATTCTTCCTTGTTGGTAATGGAACATAAATGACCATCTTGGTTCTTCAGTTGCAAAAATATTGTGCATAAATGCATAATTAACTATCAAATGGAACAAAAAAAATGCTCAGGAATTACAAATGAATTAGCTATTTCTTCTGAACTGCAAAATTTGCTGACATGACATGTGCTGATCATGTACCTGTGTTATTGCAGCTTCCCAAAGACGAATGTCGTCTGGCTAATTTACCTTGTGGATATTGTGCTACAGAAGAAATACGAGGTGAGTCGCTACTTTTCTGACGACTCGGGAATTCACATCGGTTTTGTTAATCCCGGCAGGTCAAATTTGCCAGATTCTCTAACTTTGTGAACACTTTGCTAGGCGTGCAACTCCACAGATGAGAGAGAGCTCCGGTCGTTCAAGAAACGGCTTTCCTCGTGCGGTTCTGCTAGAGATTGCCTTGCTGATCCCATTTTCAGCGATCTGCTGTTGGAAGAGGAGGATGTGCGACCCTCAGCAATGCCTCCCCTGTAGTTGCATCTGCCCGTCGACTAACCATTTCGTTGGCTTGGGGTTTAGGGTTTAGGAATGTGGTGGGCACTAGAGATCGAACACACATGTTTGTTCGTCCCCACATGACATGCAAGAGAGCTTGCTGTCTAATTATGTAATATGGCTGCTGTCGCTTGTAGGACTGCTTGAATATATCTATGTAAAGCTGCTATATGCAGCTGCAACCATTCAGCAACAAAATGAATGTACTTCAGGGAGCAAGCATGTCAGAACCTGAACCTGATGAAGCGTCGAGTTTCTTCAGTTAGCTGAGTTTTGAAAACGCTTTGTGGAATCGGACAGCCATCAGCGCTCGGGTTAAACCTCGCTCGACGGCTGAGATTGCTTAAGACACAAGAACTATAGAGTGGGGCGTTTTGGACTCCATGGAGGCCGAAATGTTTGAAAATTTCAAAATTCAAACTTATTAGTTTAAAAAAAATCTAAAAATGTATAAGTATACAAGGATGTGATGTGTATATGTGCAAAATTTTAGGATGAAATACCTTTGAAGTGCGATCTGTGCAAAAATAAATAAATTTATGGACTTTGGGGATGAACAATCATGTGCTGAAAAGCCATGTATTTTTTTTTGCACAACCCTCATTTGAACATATTTCGTCCTGAAAATTTGTACACATGTGTGTTATGCCTCCATGTATATCTGTGTTTTTTCAGAATTTTTTAAAATATTAAAATATGATTTTTGATGAATTTTGAATTTATCAAAAACCGACCTCCATGGAGCTCGACCTCGAAAAGCAATTTTCGTTACTTTCACCTGCAGTTAAAGTTGAACCTATATAACAGCCAGGTTGTGGCTGAATAGGCATCGAGAATTATTCCCCTCATTCTGGCCCTAGACCTAGAACATATACGTTACAAATACTTTAACACAGATCTGGCACCTTGATTTGGCCAGCTTATCCCCAATTTCTTCTTAGATTTACACTTATACTCATCAGATCTTGCCATCAGAACTGGGATCTGACAAGGCATTTCAGCAGCAAAATGAATTACCGAAACATGCTCACAAGGCCAGGATAATGGATGGCCAACATTCACATTCTCATAATGAATAGAATCGGCTGGTTTTAGGAAGGTATACGAGCAAACATTAATCGCATAACTCTCACTGGTCACCACTAACGCATGTACACAACCAAGAAAGCCAGGCAATTTAAACACCACACAACCGAAGTGCTACTAACAATCCGAAGCTAACAGCAACCAGTGTGGAAAGAATGAACCAATCAAAGAAAATTACATACGGGTATAATGTACAAGCAAGCACCAATGGAACAGTTGACATCGTGTGTTTTGGCTTCAGAGCGAGAGACCTGCATGGCACGAGACTTCCATTCCCGAATGCTCAGAGCATTCTGAAAGGATCTACGGATAGCAGCTTCCGGTTCTGCGCAGGAGGTGCAGGAGGCGCCAGTCCCGGGATGTCTGGGATGCTCTTGTTATGCGGGTTGACGATCTGCGAGAAAGACAAGGTCAGATTATCATTTGCAAGTAGGAAAACAAGTGTGTGAAGTCAAAATCAAATTTTGTTTTGCCAATTTGGGACAAAGCAAGTATGCATGCGATGACACGTGTCATGGGATTCTTTATCTCCAACCATATTCTTATCAAGAATTTAGATAGGCGCAGGAGTCATTTTTATCTCCACCAAACTACCAAAGGGGATTTTGCTTTGCCTCCTTTATTTCCCAAAATTGATACAAAGTCATTTTGTTCTAGCTTTACTGACTAAGTTGTCCCCACTTTTTCATTGGACATTTCTCTGCATCCTATTATCACGAAATTAGCTAAGTGCAGCAGCTGACTCCACCATTGAATGTGCACAGAATTTCATTATCCCCGCTTTTTCATCCGATATTTTATCTCCAATGTATACTCTTATCAGGAAACGAGCTAATTGCAGCAGCTAACTCAACTGACAGTACACATATTTCCGTTCTCTAGAGGAACTTGGCTTTTAGTTGAACATGTAAGTATGGAGGGTTTGTTCCTTAACCAGCCACAGCCTCTAAAACAACTAATCCTATTCATACCCAATACAAATACTAACACAGTGCATATCATACCTTGACAACAATGATCGCAATCACACCACAAACTATCAAAAACAGAAACCCCATGATGCATTTGTCAGTTGCAACCTGCAACAACAAATATTGCAAGTCTCAGCCATTGTCTCTTCACATATACCAAACAAAGACATGTAAGAACAGGGAGAGATAACCTGACGACCAATCTCTTTCACCATTTGACTAGCTTTCTTCAATGAGAAGTGAACGGAATCTAGCTCATTGCCAATTCTCTTCATTTGGTCAGTCTGAAAAATGATAGATAACTTACGAGAAAGGATATGGCACCAATGGTAGGTAAAGCTTATAAAAGCTGAACTTCAAACCACAACTTATAACGGAGCGATAAATAAGATTCTTTAACCAAGTAATGTTTACACATCCTACTTGGGTTTTACAAAGCTATCCTGAAAACAGTCTCCAGTGTAAACAGACCCACTGGTTCTGGTTTTGCGGTTTTCTCCGGAAAATACAGATTGATCGATACACCTTACAGTTTGTTGAGTATAAAGGAACTGGAGGGATGTTGCCTTTGGATTACAGAGGTGATCTGAATATACTAGAAATGGAGAAACAGAATAGGAACCACAGTTGAACTATCCCTTAGGCATTAAAAGGGCAATATAGTTCCCAAATTCCCATTCAGAACATACTTGAAATCAAGAAACATCCAATTTCATTGGTCCAGAAAACTTACTTGCTGTGTTAGAGTTGTAGCAGTTTGAGCTCCAACATCAACAGTTTGTGCAACAACCTACAACAACAAATTTCTGTAAATTTCCTTTGTTTGCGACTTGTAAAAACACCTTATGAAAGAGTGAACAACAAACGAAAGTGTAAGTTTGCAGTGCACCATTTTCGAACGCTCAATAGCTTGGTCTGTTTGGTCCATTTGTTTCATTCCAGAATCAATCAGTTGTTGATTTGACATTTCTGCAAAAAATAATGAGGTACTTGGATGAGAATGTTAACATTTCATAAGATTAATAATAACAAAAAATTTATGACAGTACTTAATTTTACCTGATGCCATTTGAACGTTATCTTCAGCTACCTGGTCATTACCAGCATCGAATAGTTCGATCCTCTTATTACCAAGGCTACTTTGGTACCTGCAACACCATGACAAGCGAAAAGCACATCTATTAGCGCCAACTGATTTACAATGGGACGGAAGACATTGCAGTTTCAGGAGGTGTATATATGAAATTTAAGAATATGTGGTTTATCAGTGATTTTTTGCGAAATTACATCCTTCAAATCTATAGACAGCATGAAAAAAAAAGTGTACTCACGTCTTCCTCATGGTGACATAAGAATTCAACTCCTTGATCTGCCATAACACACAAAGGTACAAATTATACATGTGTGGAACATGACACAACAAAGACAGGAATGAAGGAAACCACGAACCATAAATTGCTTCTTGTCATTTAGCTGTTTGTTGACCTCAGAAGTATTGCTTTTCTCCTCATCTTTGAGTACACGATCAAATTCCTTGATTAAGCTGCAAGAAATCGCGGGCATATTTACTAGAATTAAGACATGGTATGAGAACTCGGCAGTGGCACATTCTCCAGGTAAAGAGATTGCAAAATTTCATCATGCCACACGCAGAAGATCTGAAATTGCATGCTCAACAGCTCAAGTAGGAACATCGATGGCAGTGTTCGATAACAAGACTTACCGCTTGCACTCCCTCATCTTCCCAGTGAGTTCTTCCAGCTGCTTGGACTGCCTGTTGGAGTCCTTCATCTTGTCAATCTTCTGGAACCCATTGCTGCAGCAAACAACCACCGCCCATCAGAAATTCAGAATCAACCAACCCAGCACGGGAAGCAACCAGCCATAGTCTGAGCACGGGTACGCGAAATCTGATGCCAGTAAACCTTCTTTTTTACTTTTGCAGGACAGCCACGAACGAAATTGGTACTCCTAAAAAGTTTCAAGAAACGGCAGCACTGCGGCGAACAAAAAAAAAGGTAGAGAGATCTGGCTCACTGTAGGGCGCGGAAGATGTCCTGGATCTCGCCGTCGACCTGCTCGAGCTCGGGGCTCATGGGCACGTCGCTCGCCGCCATGGCGGCTGCCGGATCTCCGCCTCCGCCTAGCGGGATCCGCCCGGTTGCGGGGGGAGCAGCTCTTCCGGTGGAGGCGAGGAGGGCGGCGGTTGGGGCGAGGGGGAGGGGTTGGTGCGGACTGCGGAGCCGTTGGGTTTGGTTGGGGGCTGGAGTCGTGTGATCCTAGCTGTGAGCTGCCCAGCTGTGCGCTGCCACGCAGGGATTAGGCGGAGAAAAGCAGATGATTCTTGCCTTGTTGGAGTTCAGGTGCGTCATTTTGGTGAGATGATGGGGTCAAATTTCTTTTTTTAACCCCTCCTATATATTAATTAATTTTAAATATTCATACAATCATCCGTTACAAATTCAACCACACAGGGCGGAACACTATTAAGAAGCACACCATCAGACCTATTATCAAAGCTGAACTTCGCAATCTCATGCGCCATCCTGTTAATTTTGAATATCTTACAATTTATCATCAACTCAGATAAACTCAATGCTTCTACCTTTACATCAACTTGAGATCATTTTCAAGGAAAGAAGCCACAAAAGAACAATCAGTTTCTAAAATGATGGGCTTGTGGAGAGTAATACCAATGTACAACCCCGCAAGGATCGCTGTCAGTTCCGCTTCATCCGCGCTATTGCACACCCCAATATAATCCTAAGACAACATGATAACTTCTCCAGTATGGTTTCTGGCCACGACGCCCACACTTGCAATCCTTAAAGCCTCCACATAACTTGCGTCAACATTAATCTTAATGAACTCCGTAGCGGTAGCCTGCCAAGTCACAAAATTCTTTTGCATATCATTAGTAAAATTTAAGCCATCTACCCTCTCTTTACCTTTGATGCTAATCTCCGTCTTCACATTGAGATGACAGGACGAGAATGACGCCCAATAATCCTGAATGAAACTCACAGAGCGGAGATTTTTTTTCTTTCCCTTATCAAAAATCAAATCATTCCTCGGGTGTCATGCTCTCCAAAGCATGAATATAATTTGCTCACGCACCGGCGGCCTTACTTGATCTAATAAGATAAATAACCAATCCGGCCCCAAAAATTGAAAAACACTTCATCTGGTAAATTCCAGACCTCTCTTACCGCCAAACGTAGCGCATGAGCCTTGGGACAACTTACCAGTGCATGAAATACAGATTCATCTTCCTTAAGTTTCAGCGCAAATATATACACACTTTTAGCTGAGAACAAACCATTTTTCTCGTAGTGCCAAGCAATGAAATATCCCTCACCAACAGTCAGAATACGCAACTTCAAAATTTCCTCAGCATCATGTGGAAAGAGCAGATGCCGAATAAGATTCTCATCCAATCTTTTTGAGCCACCAATGAATAACTCAGACACACATTTGAGTCTGGTTCTGTTCTTTTTTGCAGAAATTTGAAGACCCGAATCTCTAGGAAGCCAACTGTCTCTCCATATATTTATATTTGCACCATCGCACACTTTCCAAATGACCCTCTTTTTCAGCAGCTCAAGACCATGCATAATACCTTGTCAAGTAGTCAACGTCATATGAGGGAATACAATGTCTAGCAAATGTCCATGAGGATAATACTTTGCTTTCATCACCTTTGCACATAATGAGTCCAAAAAAACCAATAAACGCCAAGCTTGTTTCGCCAAAAGCGCTTGATTAAATAATCTCAAATCTCTAAATCCCATACTTCCTTCATCTTTGGGTCTTGTCAACTTATCCCACGCCAGCCAATGAGTTTTCTTCCTATCCTCCTGGTCACCTCACAAAAAAATTCCCAACGATTTGGGATAACTCTTCACAAATAGAAGCAGGAAATTGGAAAATACCCATGGCATAGACCGGAAGAGCCTGTACGACTGACTTAATCTGGAACTCCTTCACTCCGCTAGAAGCATATTTTTCTATCCAGTCTGAAACCCGCTTAAGCGCTTTATCTTTTGTAGATTGGAATTTACCGGCCTTCATCCGCCCTTCCGGCATAGGTAAACCAAGATATTTATCCTCAAAACCATCAACAGTGATTTTGAGAACCACCAAGATAGAAACTTGATCTTCCAGACTACACTTTTTACCAAACAAAACTGAGCATTTATCCGGGCTTAACAATTGACCCGTCCCCTCCTCATAAGCTGCCAAAATCCATTTAATGACCAGAGCTTGCTCCAAAGAACCCTTAAAAAATAGGAGGCTATCATCAGCAAATAACAAATGTGAGAACCCTGAAGCATGTCTGTTCAGCCGAAAATCCTGGATAGCCCCTTTCGCCGTAGCATCATGAAGTAACAACGAAAGGGCCTCAGCCACAAACATGAATAGATAAGGAGATAGAGGATCCCCTTGCCTGAGACCACAAGAAGGTTGGAATCAATCTAACATTTGACCATTAAACCGCATAAAAAATTTCACTAACGTAACACAGGTCATAATCCACTCAACCCAAACTGGAGCAAAACCATATGCTCGAATCATACTTTCCAAGAACCTCCAGTCCACACGATCATATGCCTTGGCTAGGTCCAGCTTGTACGCACAGTATTCACCCCAACTGTCTTTTAGCATACTCAATGAATGCATACATTCAAAGGCTATGAGAGCATTATCAGAAATTAACCTTCCAGGAATGAACGCACTTTGGGTAGGAGAAATCATAGCGTCCAACAGAGGTCTCATTCTATTGACAAGACACTTGGAGATAATTTTATATATGACATTGCATGGACTGATTGGCCGAAAATCTTTTATCAACTGGGGGTTCTTCACTTTAGGAATAAGCATAATAGTTGTATTATTTATCCTCTCTGGCATACATCCCGAAATAAAAAATTGTTGAACTACAAGAACAATATCTTCCTTTAGCAAACCCCAATTCCTCTGGAAAAAACCAGCTAGAAACCCATCTGGCCCTGGAGCCTTCAACGGACCAATTTAAAAGAGAGCATCACTAATCTCTTTTTCAGTAAAAGGCTTACAAAGATCCTCATTCATCTCATCATTCCCCAGAGGTTTCACAAAGCGAGATAATATGAGAAGGGTTTACCGTATTGTCCCAAGAGTAATGATTCTTACAAATGAGTTTGTGATACCTTTAATCTCGTCCACATCATGAGAGAGGGACCCGTCGCTCCTTTTAAGGGCCGAGATATTATTCTTCTTAGCTCTCCATGTGGCCTTTCTATGAAATAATTTTGTGTTCCTATCACCCCATTTCATTTTGTCCAAACACGATCTCTGCTTGCACATTATTTCTTCCTTTATCAAAAGTTCATCCATCTCCATGAGGATTTTCTTCCTTTCCATAACAGCAGTATGGTCATTTCTTTTGAAGAGCACATTTAATCTTTTTCGCGCCGTTTCAACCTTTTTAGGCCAATATCCAATATGTTCCTGTTGGGGATCGTTGCAGAAATTAAAATTTTCTACGCATCACCAAGATCAATCTATGGAGAAACTAGCAACGAGAGAGAGGGGAGTGCATCTTCGTACCCTTGAAGATCGTGATGCGGAAGCGTTGCAAGAACACGGTTGGAGGAGTCGTACACGCAGCGATTCAGATCACGGTCAATTCTGATCTGAGCGCCGAACAACGGCACCTCCGCGTTCAACACACGTGCAGCCCGGTGACGTCTCCCGCGCCTTGATCCAGCAAGGAGGAGGGAGAGGTTGGGGAAGACAACTCTAGCAGCAGCACGACGGCATGGTGGTGGTGGAGCAGGGTGGTTTCCAGCAGGGCTTCGCCAAGCACTACGGAGAACGAGGATGTGGAGAGGTAGGGTTGCGCCGAGAGAGAGAGACTCGTGTCCTTGGCAGCCCCCAAACCCCCACTATTTATAGGAGGAGGGGAGGAGGGTGCGCCCCCTCTGGGGTTCCCACCCCTAGGGGGGCGGCAGCCCTAGATGGGATGGAGGGGGCGGCCAAAAGGGGGAGAGGGGGGGTGCGCCCTAGGGTGGGCCTTAGGCCCATCTGGGCATAGGGTTTCCCCCTTCTCCTCCTAGCTGCGCCTTGGACCCTGGTGGGAGGCGCACCAGCCCACTCAGGGGCTGGTCCCTTCCCACTTTTGGCCCATGCAAGCCTCCGGGGCTGGTGGCCCCTCCCGGTGGACCGCCGGAACCCTCCGGTGGTCCCGGTACATTACCGGTGACGCCCGAAACACTTCCGGTGGTCAAAACCTCACTTCCTGTATATTATTTTTTACCTCCGGATCATTCTGGAACTCCTCATGACATCCGGGATCTCATCCGGGACTCCGAACAACATTCGGTAACCACGTACAAACTTTCCCTATAACCCTAGCGTCATCGAACCTTAAGTGTGTGGACCCTACGGGTTCGGGAGGCATTTAGACATGACCGAGACATCTCTCTGGTCAATAACCAACAGAGGGATCTAGATACCCATATTGGCTCCTACATGTTCCACGATGATCTTATTGGATGAACCACGATGTCGAGGATTCAATCAACCCCGTATACAATTCCCTTTGTCTATCAGTATGATACTTGCCCGAGATTCGATCGTCGGTATCCCTATACCTTTTTCAATCTCGTTACCGGCAAGTCTCTTTTACTCGATCCGTAACACATCATCCCGTGATCAACTTCTTGATCACACTGAGCTCATTATGATGATGTCCTACTGAGTGGGCCCAGAGATCCCTCTCTGTCACACGGAGCGACAAATCCCAGTCTTGATTCGTGCCAACCCAACAGACACTTTCGGAGATACCCGTAGTGCACCTTTATAGCCACCCAGTTACATTGTGACGTTTGGCACACCCAAAGCATTCCTACGGTATCTGAGAGTTGCACAATCTCATGGTCTAAGGAAATGATACTTGACATTAGAAAAGCTTTAGCAGACGAACTACACGATCTTGTGCTATGCTTAGGATTGGGTCTTGTCCATCACATCATTCTCCTAATGATGTGATCCCGTTATCAATGACATCCAATGTCCATGGTTAGGAAACCATAACCATCTATTGATCAACGAGCTAGTCAACTAGAGGCTCACT